GGAAACTCATTACTGAATGTTTCCTCGACGCATCCTCAGCCTCAGGTACAGTTAGTGATCACCCGCAATCCAATGACAGCACTACATTCTGCAGTACATTATTATTCATGCTCTATTCATATTGCTGTAGATCCCTTTCCTTTCGGATAGAAGCGAGCCACAAGTGCTGTTGTGGCGTTGGGGAAACCTAGTCTGGTACTTAACACCAACTTTATCTGGAATGAACGCATCTCAGGCGTCTAAGGCTGCTAAAAGCGTCTTAGATAAACTTCAGAAAGGCGTTTTCTGCTTATTCGCCTAATAAGGCATTAAAGTGAGCCGGAGAGGCTACTTCGTCTTTACAGCGGTGTCTGCGCGTCCACAAACGTTATATTTCAGCATAGTTTGTTTAATCCGCCGATTCTTAATGGCTTTATGCAACCGATAATTCAAAGCGACAAACTGAATATTCTCTCCCATTACGTTTCCTATTAACTCTCCCAATCCACTCTGGGTGGATGGCGCTGCTGTTGCGTCTGCTCTTCCTATTGGTGTTGGTAGCAACTGTGGGCAGCGTTCCCATAGTTTTCCGAGAGCCTTTAGCAGTAAATATTTCAATGGCACCTGCGCATCTTACATGTTCTGGCGTCGCTGCAGTTCTGGTGGAGTTAAGGTGACTGTAGCTGGCCTCCACCTCGGAGGTTTTTGATAGCGTTAATGTTTCCTTTTCGGCGATAGTTTTTGTGTTTTGGGGATCATTACTAAAGGTTAGAGGTCCACAATATGAAACTTTTATATCCTGCAGAATTTCAGTCACCTGTATATCTTGCAGCTGCACTGGCAGCGCGTGCGGCTTTGGTTGCTGCTGCCGTTGCTGTTGCTGCAGATGTTGGTAATTTTTCTGCTGCTGTATGTGTTGCTGCTGTAGCTGCTGAAGCTGTTTCTTTCCTCTCTCGCGCCTCGCTAGTCGTTGATGGCTTTGAGGGCTGTCCTGGACCACCAACCCTGAGGTGGGGGTATAGTGCGATGAGTGCGGAGTTGGCGCTTGTCGATCCCCCTCGAGCTGTAAGCTTTCAACTTCCTGAAGCTCGCACGAGTCGCAGCTTTGCGTGTCAGAGGAGGACGTAGACACTGAGAAGAAAGCCTTGCATGCAATCCAGTCTCTTCTCTTATCCGCTATGGGATTGCCCCAGACGAGTTGCTGGTGCGGCCAAAAAAGCGGGTGCCTCTGTTCAGCTTCCATAGTCGTGCCAGCGCCTTTAGGCTGGAAGCAGGTTCCTGGTGCATGCGTGTTTGGAGGCCGTTGCTGCTGGTCCTCTTGTAGCAAAACAATCACGTCTCTGCTTAGGTAGTCTCCTGTAAACTCAAAAGTCCAGTCGACTCTTTTTGGGATAGGAACACCTCTCCATTCATCATGTGGTTGCTCTTGAGGGCGGTGGTTGCAGGCACCAAAAGTGGAGGGCAGTGGCTGGCATTCCGGCGCTGCATAGGCAGGTTTGTCTGTAGCCCACTTGAACATGGAATTTGTTTGCCATTCTGATCTGCATGCATCACGATGCGGTGGTGGCGGGTTCTCAGTAAAATTTGCTGACGGCCACATTTGGCTGATATATACATTTGCTTCCTCCCGCATGGGAAACTGCTGGCAGCTTTCTTTCTTGGGCAATTGCCACTACGAGAGAAAGGGAGAAGCATCAGACCAGCCGCATTCGCTCTGTTTGCTTTGATTGGAAGACTGCACCTTATGCAATTTTGGAGTTGGGAGAATGGTCATTGGCGGAAGTGGGAATGGGTTGTACTGCCACGACGGCTGAGCTTGCCAGCTAGTGCTGTCTGGCGCGGGTGGTGCGGTGGCAAGTCGTGCGGACTAGCTGGCAGAGGTAGCCTTCAATCTGACTTTTCTGCAACTGCAACCATAAGTAAGAATTCGACAGCTTTGACACGGTGATGTATGTGGCCGCTTATGATCCTTTTCGCCTTCTCCACGACAAGCCGAAACGCATTGAGCAGCTTAACCAAGTAAGCAGTATATTCATCTCTGTCTGAGCAAAAGCGTGGGACGCTTTCCCTGCAGACGGATTCATCTCCATCGTTTTCTTTTTGATCGTCCCCTTTTTCTGGCTCGCCGACGCGTGGACTCTTTTTGTTGTTGGCAGTAGCGTCCGTTCTGAAATGTGAATCTCTATCGCTAGCTGAATTCCTGTTGATGTAAGGGATTATCGGTCCAAATATATCAGTGCTTTCCATAAAATCATCTAGGCGTCGTCTTCTCTCCAGAACATCCAAAACGAAATGCATCGCGGGGACCAACTCGCCCGCGTTTGTCCCGTTCGGAAGGTACTGGAACGCTGAATACAATTTAGCGTTTTGCAATCCTTCAGCCGTGGTGCTTGTTGGGTTTCTGCTGGTTGACGAAGTTTAACGGCTCCTCGTCCAAAGGCTGCAGAAGCTGCAGTGGCGACTAAGTCTGAAGCGGCTGCAGCTGCTTCTGCAACTGGGTTTGCTCGGGTACTTGTTCTGAAGCAGCAGGTGGTTCGCTTCGTTGGTCCTCCTGCTGTTGCTTTAGTCCCCACCTAAAGGAGCAAGTTTTTTGTCTTTGGCTTCTGTTGTTTTGCGCTACATTTTCCCCGTCAGACGCTTCGGCTGGCAGACTATCTCCTGCGTCAGCGCAGTGGGAAACACCTCTTACACTTATTTTGCTCTTATGCTTCTCTGCTGTGTTGTGGGACGGTGCCTTGATTGTTTTCGTTCTGCGTAGTGGCGCCTGCGGAACAGTTGACAGAGAGGGCCAAAGTAAATCCCACTGCTCGTTTGAAGGGGCGTCAGCTGGAACTGTTGGAGGCGATTTTGGCCGCTGCTTTGGCTGCGACTTTGGTTGCTGCTTAGTCTTGGATTTCGGGAGGGAGGCGCACTTTGGCTGGAGCAGTACCCGTCTTTTCTCTGCCGTTGTGGATGTCTTTGGTGGTGGTTTTACTGGTGCTTTTCCCTTTGCTGTTGTTTGTGCCTCGCCCCGTCTCACGACAGTTGTTCAGTTGGCTTGTTTGTCCTTTTCGTCCATTTTGACGGAGAGTTGCACAGTCCTGAATCTTTGGGAACGCACGGGGTGGTGATCCACATACGTCTGAGTCAGAAATCAACCTTCGGAGGCGTTTCCAATCACCATAAGGAAGATCCAAAAAGATATGTCTACAGGATGACTGACTTCAGATGACAACACGAAGGCTATCTCGATGAGCTGCAGGATGGAAAGTCACGTGCTACGGCTCTACGAAATTCGGCGAGTATAATGACCCTGACGACAGCCAAGTTGAAGTCAATTCAAGTTGATAAAAGCCACGGAAAGACAGAGAGTATTTGCGAGGAAACTTCGCACAGGTCGTCCAGTTGAGTTCCAACGAGAAAGGTCGAGACGGAACCGAGATATTTTGGCGGATTCTCATTGAACAATAAAGAAATACAAGATTTCTCTGTTTTAAAAAGGATTTAAAACAGAGAAATACAAGATTTCTCTTTTTTAAAAAGGATCTAAAATGCGATTAAAAGGATTTGCTACTTGATTCCGAGGTATGCATACTGAGGTGTCCCCGAAATTCGATAGATTTGAAGGAGAAATGAAGTGCAGCTTTTCCCGATCGCGTGCTTGAACCCAAATATCAGCCTGTACACACGGCGAGACAGCAGCGCGACAACCGAGAAACATTCGTCCTAATTTTCCGTTTCCAATGCATAACGTGGGTCCGTGAATACACCGTTTTGTTTACCACTAGCCGAAGAACTGCAAAGTGTCAGAGCTGTCGTTGTATTCATCAAACAAAACACTATGGGCATAGCGGACAGACAGGTTCAGTCAAGACCCTAAGGCAAGCGGTCTCGTGGTACTTCCTCACAAATTGCTCTGAAAAGGTCCACTGAAGCCATTGATATTTGTTGAACCCATCATTCTGGAAATACTGCTTAAAATCGCCGTGGGGTCTTGTGCTCGTTTCACAAACTGCACCGGTGTCTTCTCAGGGGGTTGTTGAATCGGCATTGACAGACCCAAAAGTGGAAACCATTTGTTTAATACGCTCACGTGCAACACGCCGAGTAAGTATTTCAATTATCCATCCCCATATAATGCAGGAAACCCGCGGTTTGCCCCATCCTACGTGGGCATGAGCAGTGAAGAAACCTCCACATGCAGGACTTAACATGTTCCAAGATACTGCAGGCAGATTAATCTGGATCCTGTACCATTTAGGCAGTGCGGACAAGTTTTAGATTGGTGCCCTTTAATACCTACAAATTACCAGCCCGATGTGCTGAAGTGTTACGTGCAGGGAGTTTCACCAACAACTTCCTTTGACTTCACATTCTTTTCTGCTAGCCACACACCTATGATACCAAACCAAGTTGAAATGAATTTTGAAGCTCTAGTTTTTGTAGGTCACCGAACGAACGTGACCCTGCCACAAGGCCAAGTGGAGAGCGTGCTCGATGCATACATAAAACAGTGCAGTGTAACAACAGGTCATCTTTAGTGTCCGTTAATGTCATTGAACAAAATTGAATAAATTGTCGTTGTCACTGTACGCTTCCGTCGGTTTAGTTTCTTGGTTTGCCGCATTCACTGCTCTTCAAATTGATCGTTGAGTCGAAACGAACCTGAGCGGCAGTAGCAGCTCTGTAAGCTGTTAGGATGAAGATTGAGGGGTTAGCTGTTCTTATTCAGTCGACGGCATCATTCTTTCTTCTCTTCTAGCTCACCTCTTCTAAGCAAGGAAATATAAAAAAGGGGATGAACTTTTTCGAATGCATCCCTCTGCCGCAGAACCCACATTTCTCGATTACGCGGGTCGGCAAAGCAATTTGAAAGTTAAGCATTGGCACAACTTGCCAGCTTGCCTACATATATACGTGTACATATACATATATAGTACACACGCATTCGAAACAGTTGTTCTAGGGGGAAATAATTGCTATAGTCGCCTACACGAACGTCGACAGTATTTGTCAATGGCCTGTCTACACCGGCCCGAAAGTTAATTCATAGACCTCAGCTTCTCAATATGATCAGCTAACCCCTCAACCTTCTTCCTAACAACTTGAAGAGTCCTATCCACACACTTTTGCTGCTTCTCAAGCCACCGAGAAGCTGTGTAGGCACCTTTCTCATGCAACAGCCTAATCAGCAACGCAGCAGTAATACCCCAGCAAAGGCAGACAAACAGACATATGCTCTCAGAAAGCTGCAACATACCCAACTACTAACCAACTAAGCAGTAATTGCAGCAGCAATGTCCACTGCATCAGCAGCAGATTCAATGCAAAACGAGAAACTGTCTTGCGTGAGCAACAGCAACCATGTATCCACAACAGCAAGTGACTTCAACAACAGCGAAGGTTGGAGCACGTAGGCGTCGTTTTCTTGGATAACATTTATTGATGCGCTCAAGTTCATCAGCGAACTGCAGTGCATGTGCCTCTTCCCATCAAACCCATACACGAGTTCATTACGATCAACTGATAGCTGCAGCGTGCCGAAAAACAATATAAAAGCTGGGCAAAATACATCCAGCTAGGACTTAACTGCGAATAAAATCGCGGCACAACTCTCTTTTTCTGTTCTTCCTCTTATCCGCTGCCGCTTCCCGTTGCCGCACCAGATGCTGAATGTGCGTTCCTACTGCTTTGTGCAACCCCCTCTGAGAACTTGTGATGCAACTCCACTGGAATCAGCATACGCTGAATAATTTTATACAGGAAGTGTAGGAAAGCAAGACGAAACTAACTGCGAGACGGCCGGGGAAGATCAGGGGGTGTCATTCTCCTATTCTTGGCACCTCCATAAGGAAAAGTATCAAACAACGAGGTGATCGTCGATACCAATATGACTTGTTCCTCGTATTTCTTGCACTCCACTGCGGAAATAGAACCACCTACTCTTCGCACCTCCGTAAGGGAAACGGAATAAATGAATAATGAGGTGGTCGTCGGCATCCACCGCACTTGTTGGTCGGGCTGCCTTCACTCTGCTGCAGAAGTAAAACCACAACATCGAAGATGGCAGCAACAACAACAGCACCTATGGAGGGGTGGATGGGAGCAGTAGAGCCATATTGAAGCGCCTCGCAATGGACCGTTTCCTTCTGACGATGAACTGCCGCCAAACTGATGTTAACTGGCCATCAGCTTACGAGCTGAATACTGTGGCAGTGCCCTCATGCGACGGCGAGTGGGGGTAGAGATGGGCTTTTACGTACAGCAACACCTGCATCAGCGCGCCTTGGGTGCTTGGAACCGTGATGAAGTCTGCTGCTGCCTTCGCGTCTTCATATCCGTCTCCAACCGCCACTGCCGTGCCTGCTACTTTGAACATGGGCAAGTCGTTGTGGGCGTTACCTACAGCTAAGACCTCTTCCGGCGAAATCCCCAAGACCTCTGACAGCAGCCGCAGTGCCTCCCCTTTGTCAATCCCGGGCTGCAACACTTCGAAGGCCCTCGGGTGACTCTGCGCAAAGCCAATTGAATCCCCCAACTCCGCCTCGAGTCGGTGGCGAACGCCCGCCACCGCGCTAGGCTCCCCTTCTACGTGCACTTTGTGCACGCGTGAATAGACGTCTAAAGATTCCGATTTCTCTTTGAAGAAAACCAGCGGCCCTTCCGTTACCCCTACAGCCTTGTCTAACAACCCCGCTTCCGTGATAATATGGAGGATGTGCTTCAGAGTGTCGTGCGCTAGGGGACTATCCCGCAGGACCTCTCCTTCAGGCCCCAATACATACGCTCCATTCAGGTAAATTCCTGGGAAGCCCGAAAAATCCATCTTTTTCAGATTATTTTCTCCCAGAAGCTCCATGACGTTCGTGCGGGGGCGGCCAGTGGACAGCGCCACTTGAATGCCTAGGGAGTGTGCCAAGCGGAAAGCCTCCACATTATCTGGTGGAAGAACGCCATCTTTGCCTATGAGAGTGCCATCGAGATCACTTAGGATCAAGCGTGCGGGTTTTGGAAGAAGAGGAGAAGACCTGGTTGGACTCTCTTGCAAGGGAAGTACAGTGGAATCCCCCGCATTTGCAGGGGACGCAACAGTGGCCAAAGATAGGCAAAGGAAAGTTAACAAGGCCATTGCTTGGGTATAAAAGCTCATACACTCTATTACTTCTTAAATAATGCAAACCCTCTTGGGAGACAAGCAGCGCGATCGCTCCATGAGAGACATTTGCACCCCAAGAGTGGCCCAGAGCGTGCCATCAGAGCAGCACGTCTGCTGAGTGTAGCAAATTAATGAGTTATTAAAACGTCCTAGAAATATTCCCTTCAGTTAAAGCGTCAAAGCCATACATCTCCTTGAGTGGAGTGTGTGTAGCACGCTTCAGGTGTGTCGACCACTGGAGCCTAGGCGGCAGGGCCCGCTCTCGACCGTGCATCTGCATTGAGCCTTTCCAGTGTTCCCATCCACACAAGGGGCTCGGGGAACTTATTTCACTTAAAAAAGAGAAAATATGTCCCTCTACTGGTATGTATGGCCAAAGGATGTTGCAACCCCTGAGTTGTAGCATAACCTGCGTGGCAGGTGGCACTGAAAGTGGCACACGACACCTAACTCAGCTCCATATGGAAGACGGTACGCAAAGAGAAACTTCCAACAATTCTCTTCAGTGTTTATGCACACAGCCAACAAGGCTTTTTTTGTTCTTGTGCCTTGGGATGGTTTGCAGCTTGTGTAGCAGAGCCCGTTGGCTTGTCTGTCTGAAGTGGGCACACGAACCCTTACCCAGGCCTAGGCAAATGGGACGCAAGCACAAGCTCTCACACAGTGTCTGTGCAGAAACCCAAGGAGGCCTGCTTGTGCTCGTGTGGGGGGCCCTCTTGCGTCTTGAGGAGCAGCAAGATACTTGCAAATCCTGGCTGGCCGCCTCCTTTCCCGCAGCTCCAGGCGCTTTAAACACTGTGCCCAGGACTTCTGGAAAGTGGAGATAGAGGTAAGTTGTATTTAAGGAACCCTTATCTTGAGTTTTTGCACATAGTCGCCTACACTACTCCTCGGGTAAAATCCAGGCCCCCTCTACTGATCTATCTAGTAAGGCATGGTGCACAAGTTGCAGGCATGAACAATGGATCTCACCATAACAGCAGGGCTTCCCGCTACACAGGCGTGCATAGTGTGGAATGTACTTAGAAAAAAATACATACAAACAGATTATTTTCCAACTCGTCAATCCCTCGCACACCAGGCAAAGCCTTGAAATTGTGATGATGGGTTTTTCGTTGGTTTTGTCGGATCACGCAGTACGACTACGCCGTGTAGGCGTGTAGGAAGGGTATGATCAACACAGTTAGTGGGGTATTTTCCTGACGTTCTACATATCAGGCCTTTGTTCTGCAATTGCAGCCACATGAGTAAGTAAGGAGTAGGGTGAACGCAATTTTGAAAGGAAACCGGTTTCATTACACGTTGCCGCAGTTGTCCCTAAGCAGAGATGTATGACGTAACACGGAAGAGAGTTACGTTCGACCGAGGCGATTGGGTTTTGTTGAATAGGTACCCCCTCCACAGTGCGTAAGGCGACGACGAGAGGACGAAGTTCGTTGGGCAATTTGACAGACGGTCTGCTCCCCGTTATCGTGGGTCAATGAGTTCTGCTGCATCATCTGCTTTTCCTCAACTCGGAGATGTCGTTATATCGTACAAGTTAGTTCTCTTAAGCGGTTCAACGAATCACTGAAATGAACCCGAGCTCTATCAGAAATACGTCAGCAGCGACGTCGTGGTGGAACGTCACAACGGAAGGAGGCTGAGATGCTAAACACTCGTGTAACAATTCGTAGAGGCCGAAGAAAGCGAGAGTAATACGTTGTATGGGCAGGCAAACGCCAATTGAAAAGGACTCTGAGGACTGTCTCAGCAATTCAATTCCTCGTCAATGTCTAAAGGCAACCCTTGACTTTGCGGCGGGTGTGAACCGCGCAGCCTAATGCTGGGGCTTGTTTTACTACTCGGTAACCGTCCTTGTTTCACGATTGACCAGTTGCATATTCCGCATTCGCTGTGCTCGGAGCTGCCAAGTATTCGTTTTTCTGTGATCTAGTTTCCCTCCTCTGTGTATAACGACGTTATTTCCACCCTTCATACACCAGTACCCCATGTCTAGAAATCCTGCGACATCGGCAGGCATACTCAAAGAAAACGGCGATCCGTAGGCTTTTCTATTATGCCAGGCTCCCCTAACAGCAGTATCAATAACCAGAGGGCGCCGGTTTTCCAGATGTCTTGCAGATGTGGTAGTGTTCTTCTGAGCAGATGAGCAGCTGCCACAACACCACAGCTTCAGCATCCTTGACAAACAACTCGTCCACTAGGCTTTCCATGAGGTGTGGAGTAGTGATGACGTAAGAGGAGCAGCAGGAACAGCCGAAGGCCTCCTCGGCTGAGCAGCAAGAGGAAGGAACCCCAAAACCTTACAACCAACTTCAGGGGCGACACGGGCTCATGAGAGCTTGAGCTGTGAACCGGAGGAGGAGGTCTAGCGTAGTCTGTCCAATGTTGGCAAGTCCGCCTGAAGCTGCCCCACGCACTCTTGCCTGAAGTTGGGAGTCAACTGACCCAAGAAAGCAGAGATCTTCAACAATTCTCTACAGTGTTAGTGAGTGCAACAATGAAGTCTTGTTTTTCCTTTCGTACGAGCAGTGGTATACCGTTAGTCCCAGAAAGGTATGTTGCAACCTATGGCAGGCGACTTCCACGTCACGAGCGCCTGGGGTCCGGGTCATATCCCTCAGGTTGCCTGGGGTATGGGAAAGATACAGTTGCTGTAAAGAAACTATTATCTCAACTATTTGACTTAGCAGCATATCGGAAATGTCACTGGGTAAGAATGGGGAATCCCGCGGCAATGGAAGACAAGGCAATAAGGATCAAGTGAATAAACCACTCCCACAATGTTAGTTCCGGTTGGTAAAGAAGGTTTGGCTGTGTGGGAAAGGTTCTTAGGGGTCCCCTTGCAGTACTAACAGCTTCAAGGTTCACTGCAACATCTGCGCTTCGGTGCTACGAAGTGCCAGGCGGCTTCATCCTCCTCACCCCCAGGCGCTTAGGCTGCTGTCCCTACTGCTTCTGGAGACTGGAGGCCTGCTGTGGTGAACTCGAACTTCTACTGTCCAGGGCCTCCCTGTGGCACACGGCGGTCAGTGGATAAGGTCGAGGATCTCTCTCTATACCATTGTACACGAATGGAAAACCATGCTATATATTATGCAAGTAAATGGAAGCCTGTCCAGTATCATCTATAACATGACTCCTCAACCATCGGAGGATTACTGAAAGCTGCAATAGACCAAAAATACTTCAAATACAACTTTTGTAAAAGCTGCTGATCTCCCTCCGTAGAATCCAGACAACCTTAGATCAGAGACACACCTTCCTTTAGCTGCGGTAGAGGAGGCGGCGTCTCATGGGTTGCCACGAGTAATGTTGGAAGGCAGTCACAGATGCAGCAACAACTAGGTATTCATTGCTGCATACGGTCATGTCGTAGACAACTGCCTTAGGCTTCTGCTTTAGTGCGGGCTTCCTATTTTCTCGAAGGTTGTCTACTAAGGGCGAATTCGGCAAGGCTGCCTACTAAGACGGAGTAAGCGTTCATGGTCCAAATGGTCAAAACTATGCTATGAGATGTCGCACTCGACCCCACAGTAGGGAAGGGGCGCACAAGCAAAAATCTTCAGTAGTTCTCCACAACGTTAGTGCAGACACCAAAGAGAGCTTGTATGTTCTCCTCAGGAGGGGTTAGCTTGCTCCATCAGTTGTGGCAAGCTGCGTTGCATCACATGGCTGGGCGCATCATCATCAGCAGCTCAAGGCACTTGGGCTGCTACACCCAGGTAGCCTTAAGACTGGGAAGCGAGGTCAGTTAAGTCTACAGAAGCCTTCTTATATGTAACAACTCCACTGCAGCCGGTATCATGACTTTCGCTACAACTATGCCACGGGCTATGGTGTACGCGTGACAAAAGCAACGAAATGGAAAGCATGAGACCAATACTATCACGCCTACTTTGCATTTCTTAATGGTTTCAGACGGATATGTTTGCCAACTGACCCTGCACACACGTATACAGCCCAGCGGCCGATCATCTTCCAGTGGCCCCTGCTTCAGGAGCCTGGAGCGAAGGTACCGCGTATAGACGGTACCAGAGTTAAAACTGCCCATTCGCGTGTAGTGCCTTTATTTATTGTAATAAAAGGCAAATTTCTTTGCGAAAAATGACAGAATATGGAGGATTTCATGTATGGACGGCGGGACACAAACTGGAATGAGGTACCCTGATTTAACCGCAACACACTTTCCCGTCTTGCATCGATGCTTTATGTTCGCTTTCCTGTGTAATTTACCTGAATAGATATCAAGACCCCTTGACTTGCAAAATGCTTGGACTCACCCCACTTTTCACAGCCTCTGCGCCATTTTTAGCGGAGTCGGCTGCCAGCGGTCACCCACCGGCCGTTCATGGTGCCACTTCCGATGTCATTTTCTCGCACAATGAAGCACCAATTATGGATCATATGGCCTTGCCGCTGGGACGGAGAGAGATACGCAGGAGATCGCCGCTCGTAACAATCGCTCTCCTGGCAGCCACTGTTGCTGTGCTTTTTTTGGTCCATCTTTGCTTCGTGGCCCTTAAAGAGAGCAAACATTGGAGCACCTTTGGAGTGAATGAGCGGAAGCTTGCAGGCGAACATTCGGGTGGCTCAGGAGGAGACAGGAAGACCTTTAGGAAATCACGTTTATATGGAACGTCGTGCGGAGTACGTCTCGGCAAGCTCATGCTGTGCAAGGGCGCAGACTAAAAAATTCCCGACTCTGGAAGTTTAAGTGAATGCCTGATGGTTAGTAGGCGACCGGGATGTTCAAGGGGAACTCGGGAACTGAAGTGTGCTATGTTTTGAGGCTTGTCAGCAGCAAGGGAATCCCCCCCTGTTGTGTTCGCGAATCACTCCAGAGGCTTAACTGACGGACTTGCAACGGGCGAAAGACGCGTTAAGGGGGAATTGCTGGCACAGCATCGTAGACCGTCAATGAATTGTATTGGTCGGTGGCGAGTACAGTGCCGTACTTTTGCCTCTGG